ATCCAGGAATAGATCTGCAAATAGTAAAAATAAGAAAACATGATAAATCTGTGATTAAATGTACCTTTGTCGGGTTCTTCCCCTACTTCATCACGATAATACTGAACATCATCGTCATTTTCTTCCAAGGAATTCTTTTCTGTAGTTTTAGGCACGTTCGCGTGCATTCCTTTCAGAGATTTTTGTTTTAATTCCTCCTTTTCGATTTCCTTGCGTTTCTTATTCGCCTCCTGTATTTTCTTTCTCTTCTCCTTCAACTTGCTAAAAGTACGCTTTAGCACAAATTCAAATGGGAGATCTCACTTACCGTTTACTGTCACGCTTTCTTTGAATTTCCAATTTCTCTTCTTCCGTCTTATGTATAAGATGATGGTACAGAACAATACCATCCAAGAGACCGTCCTCCACCTTCATAAGTTGCAGAGTCATTCGAGGCCCGAGCTCAGTCAACTTAATTGCAGATTGACCTTGTTCCACGTTTCCTCTGGAGACCAACTTCTGATTAACTGTAATGTGACTATTGGGATCATCTTCCATTTCACTTTCCGAAAGAGTTCCCGCACTACAATTAAAATTTAAAAAAATTGTTAATTTAGTCTTTAACCTACCGTGTGAAGAACTCTGAAATATCGTCACATTTGGAAAGATCTGGAATTTTACCTTGAATAACCTTTTTGACACCTTTCGAAACTCCCACAGGCACAATTTTTATAATATAATGTCTGAAATCGATTAAATCAGTCGATGGGTCATAATTTAATAAGACGCAACGCCTTATCTTGTTCAAATCTACCTACAAATAACTAATATAAATCAAATCAAATGTCAACTAACGCTTACATTGGTTAAATTAATCTTTGGAAACATATTCTGAAACATCGACGCCATAAGCTTCATGTGAGCCTTCTCACTACTAAAACTATTTAAAATAATAAGCGGAGAGTGTTTAAAAGCTTTTTCCACAACTAGTTGTTTTTTTAAGGACGAAACGACATCTTTCGCCAACGAAAAGTTCTGCACCTTAAAGGTAAGTGTCGGTCCTCTGGGCAGGCGGCCCACTTTAAAGTACATGCCCACTTCCGTTTGTGAAAAAATGCAAAGGTGAGTAACATGAAGTAGTCCAGCTACGGACACGAAATCCTTAATGGTATTCTTCTTGTGCTCCTAAATGGACAATTTTAAATGTGCTCGTAATCTTCCCTTATACTTACTTGTAAAGATTTTGCCGTAAAAGGTTCCATTAATTTCCGAAAGTCTCGTGTCAGTTCTATGATATGTCCCTGAGTTAAACCTCTTTGAATAATAAAAGAATGTGGTGCTTGTGTTAATTCTTCGGGTTCAGAATTCACATTTGGATTGCGCTTTACGGAACGACCCTTTTTCTTTTTAACCATTTTGGATGTCTTCAAATGTACCCACACAGTAATTCAAGTAATAAATAACAACACGTGCCCAAATTTTTGATACTTTTTTAAGGTTATGAATTGAACTGTCAACCACAGAGTTGTATATAAGTGCTGTCAACACAAGTGCGTTTCAGTAGCCACATCCATTCTTATATGTCTATGGTCACGCCACTGTAATATGTATAGGGCATTGTGTACAAAATGGGACCACGGTAGACGAACTCTTACACAAATTCATGTTCCTGTGATAGATGGAAAAAACAATATTGAGTAGATTCTTCTAGGCTCAAATTCTATTAGAAAACCATTTTAGATGACCTACAACTTTGTTGTCGTTAAAGATTAAAGACGGTTAAAAATTTAATGACTGTGGTTCCTGCACAAAACCAAATTTGGAAAATGGCGCTACATTTGCTTTTATTCAAAGTGCGTATGTATCACATTTCATTAAAATACTTTCATAAATAAGACAGTTTGTAATCCGGTTTGTAAATGGTCGAGATGCGAAAAGGGCACTGTGAATGTTGATGGATTAGGCTCAACTTTTAGAATTGTGTTTTATATGGCTAAAGCTATACGCATATTGAATTTCAGACAATTCGGTTCATAACTTACGGAGATGTCAAAAAGGCCTTCCTTATTTTTTGGGTTACATTACCAATTCACGAACTCCGATCTACAAATTTGATAAAGCAAATTTCATCGTAATCGGTCCATTCGTTTATGAGTTATCGTGCTAACGGACGGACAGACGGACAGACACCGCAAAATTATAAACTCGCTAGGAGCTCGTTAATAAATGCTTTATTACTAATACTACACCTACATCCGTCTTATCTAACTATCTGCCTACTATATTAAAGCTTTTCACTCAAAAAATCAAAACTGAAATTTAAATTTAAGTACGAGATTACAATAGAAATATACCACCTAGTAAATTTACCTAGGTATAGTTTAATTTCTATTGTGATGGTCTGGTGAACAACATAATAACTACTTGATTGACTAGTGATAATGTCCGTTCCTAAAAAGATAAATGAGACATTATTACATAAGTTAGAAATTGTACATACGTTCGTTTCGGTTTAGGGTAATGCATCATTACCATTGATGGTCCATGTTTACCATACTCCAATCCCATTTCTCCTTTTAAATTATCTGACTGATTTGGAGGGAAATTTGGATTTGAAGGATATTGATTGTTCCTCAATTCTGAATGTTGCGCTCGAGGTAGTTGGATCGGCAATGCATATCTCTTAGCTAACTCGTCTTCGTGATGCTGTGTTCCCTCATGTGGTCTAAAACTAAGTTAAGATTTGATTTATTGTACCTACGTTCAAAAATTGGCTCTTGACGAAAAGGTAGTACGATATTTACTTACTGTAACAAAGAAGCGTGCGAATCAACAACCTTACGCAAATTTCTCACTTTTACGCATAGTACTATTATAGATATCAAAAAGAATATAAGTAGTCCAACAAGAACAGCTAGTCCAATGAAAAAGCCTACCATAAAATTTGAGGCTATTTCAGTTACCTCTTCTTCGGTAGTCTGAAATGTACAACATATATTAAAATGATTTTTCATTATTTTTTACCATTTTTTGTTGCAACAAATACCACTTTACGACGTTCTGGATGATACTGATAATACCTTGATGAATACCGATGTTTTATCTAATCTCCAAAATATTTAAATGTCTCCGAAGAGTGTAGGAACATACTTAATCTTTCCAGTTCTGTCGCTATCCGTAGTGTAATTCGTAATCTGGCATTATCTATAGATTATAATAAGTAATTAATTGGAACGGTCCGAGTGAAAAAATCATTCTTATCGTTTACAATTAAAGATACTATGTTAAAAGTTATCTTCTAAATACCATAGTTTTTGAATAACAGTGCCGATTTTTTCATCAAACGCTAGCATCGCGACAAACAAACTCTCCCGCCGCACATTTCGCCCATTCCTTCAGAGCGGCGATTGAGGGATTCGACCGGATACTAATCGGTTTTCGGCAGAAGATAAACGATCGATAAACAATGAAATTAGTTCAACCTCACCAAACGTAAAACCCGGACCATAGTATTTAAACAATGCCCGGACCGGAATTTTGTTTCAATCGGCTCTGCCGTTTATCCGGAAATGGGAGTACAGACGGACCGATAGACCGACAGACAGATCGACATCATCGAGAATTTGTTGTTTTCTTTATCGCCGGTGACTAATCTTTTCCGGCGTCTCGATGGCGGCTGCTGGCGCCCCGACGTCTGAGACACTCGCTACATTATCGGTTAGGTATAACCATACTACTGGAAATAATAAATGAATAACTATTTATTAGTACCGAGTGAAAATGATCATAAATTGACTCTCCTGTCGAATGCCAAACTAATTTAGCAAACAAAAACGTCAGAATTGAAAAGTAAGATTTTATTGTCTTGTGTTCTAACTCAAATTGATTTTTAAATAGACCAAGGGAGTCGCTTGAACGGTAGCCATTTGAGACCAAGACGGCGCGATAAAACCGCAAAAAAATCCAGGAGCTTTCCAATGATGTACCTATCACAGGCCATATGATCATTTAATCGAAACGGCGTTTACGTCAATTTTTAACAAATGACAATAAAAAACCAAATAAATTCTATGAGAATGTTATAGTATATTATATACTATACAGGGTGTCAATTTTAAAACTTGCAGTCCGTCATATTTTCCAAACTAAAGAAAAAATTGAAAATCGCGCAAAACCGTTTCGGGAGTATCGAGGGGAACCAGAATGACGTTATGAGTGAGTTTTAAAATTGACACCCCGTATATAAGAAGGAACTAAAGTGTGCTTTTTAATCCCGAGGGTGCAAATTGTTGCCCGAAACGTAGTTTATCAAAAAGATATATGGAAAACGGTAGGTATAATAAATATAAAATATGTGCAAGAACCAAAATGTACATAGGTATAGGTTTGATATTTTAGTGTGTACTGTCCCTTTTGTCCCTCGTTGCGGGCACTTTAGTCCCTTAAATGAATGATAAAACACGTGACATAGTACACAGAGAATACAAAAGAAAACTAAATTAACGTGTTCTTATAAAACCTGAAGAAGACCAAATTATTTGGGTAGTCCATACTTTTTCCGCACTTTTGGTTGAAAAGTGATACAATAAATAATAACATTGAAGTAACTTATTCAATAATAACAATTTGAAAAATTGAAATATCAAACCCATAGACAACATACACCTAAGTAATAAGGTGAAGAAATAAAGAGTTATAAACAGTCGTTAAAGCATACAAGACGAGGCAGGCGTAACCTGCGGAGTTGCGCTAGTAATAATAAAATAAATGATTTATTATTAATACTACACCTACACACGTACCTTACCTAGCTATCTAATTGAAAGTTGTAGGACAAATGTCATTTGAACTCAGGCCTAGCTGAAATGGCCATACCATATCTAACTAAAATTTAAGAAATTAAGAGTAGATTACAATAGTACAATTTATCAAATTTATGGATAGTTTATAATTTTTATTATAGTAGTGATATACTAGTGATAATGTCCGTTCCTAAAAAGACAAATGACACATTATTACATAAGCCAGAAATTGTACATACGTTCGTTTAGGTTTAGGGTAATGCATCATTACCATTGACGGTCCATGTTTACCATACTCCGTATCCGTTTCCCCTTTTAAATTATGTGCCTGCTTTGGAGGGAAATTTGAATTGGAAGGATATTGACTGTTCTTTAATTCTGGATGTTGTGCTCGAGGTAATTGGAGCGGTTTACCATATTCCGTTTCCGTTTCTCGTCTTAAATTATGTGACTGATTTGAAGGGAAATTTGGATTATAACGATATTGATTGTTGCTCAATTCTGAATGTTGTGTTCGAGGTGGCATTGCATATCTCTTTGCTAACTCGTCTTCGGGATGCTGTGTTCCCTCATGTAGTCTAAATCTAATTTAAAATTTGATTTATTGTACGTTCAAAAATTAGGCGAAAAGGTAGTACGATATTTACTTACTGTAACAAAGAAGTATGCGAATCAAGAATTTTACGCATTTTTTTCACTTTTACGCATAATACTATTATAGATACGAAAAAGAACACAAGTAGTCCAAAATGAACAATTCCTACAATGATAATCCCTATCGCAGCAGTTGTGGTTATTTCCCTCACGCCTTCATATTCCTGAAATTTACACCATAGGTAAATCGATTTTTTATTATTCATTACCTACCATTTTTGTTTGGTGTGGTAAATAACGTTTTGGAATAAAATTTTAAAAAACTACTTTACGAAGTGTAGGTATTGTACTGATAATACCTGGATGAATACTGATGTTTTATCTAATTTCCAAAATAGCATTGTGGGAAAGTACTTTAATCTTTCCTGCTTGGTCGCTATCCGCAGTGCAATTCGTATAATCTACCATTATCTCTAGATTATAAGTAATTATTTGGAACTCCCCGGCTTGCACCTTGTAGTATCCGCCATGGAATACGGAAGGAAGAAATAGAGGAGCACATGAAAATTATTTTTTTCATAGACGAAATGAACCTTTGGTGGAAGTTTAAAATCTCGAAAACATTGGCAAAAACTTGCGCAGCCGTCTCCCTATTCGGAAGTGTAACGAACGGTTACAAATTATCGATGATTCATCGTGTATATTCTTCTTATCCTTCGTTTCTCGGTGTGAAGTATTTCGGAACTTACCTTAATTATACTTCCAGCTAGCTCAGGTAAATAAATAAATAAAATCGGACTGATAAGAATTACCGTCTTTCTTCGGCCAAAGTACATTCTCTCTACTCTAAATTTAAACTTACAACAAATGATACGTTTACAAAACCCAATATACATTATATACAGTTAATTACAAAATTTTATTCCTTCACGCCCAGTCCAAAAAGCATTTTGTGTAATTGAAAATATTCACACCCATTACAATACCCCCCATTGTTTTTGAGGCCACTCCCAGTGCCCACCGACAAGGCTACCTATGACCAACGCCAACATTCTTGCATTATAACGGTTTTGCAAGACACATAAGCATATTCCATACCCACAAAACACACCATCCAGCCCCACGCATCCCCAACCTCAGAAAAATAAAACTTTTTCTTTTTTTACACATTCCATTCCGGCTGAAGAGAAAATGACACAACTACCACTATTCACTTAAATTGTGAACTACCTACATCCAGAAAACGTTTTTTGATTTGCTTTAAATTGTAATAAACCCAATTTGAAATGTATGCTTATATTAAATCGATGACAGAACAGGTGGAAGAGAGTAGAATTAATAAGCAAAGTAAATAATTCAAGCAATTAACGGACGAACCACTGGTCAACGATACGCAGACGGCAATTAAATAAGGTAGGTAGTCGATATAACAATGGAGAACAAAACCTTTATGATTTTATAAGCACATCGGGGATAAATGATGTTCACGTGCCACTTGACGTGGTAATTGTACGTTCGTTTGTTTTCCAACCCCATGAATCTCTGCAGGGGTTTGCGGTAATGGGATCAGAACGTACGCTCTATTAACTTTACACTATTTGCTAATTGTTTGACTTTGCGGGGCGAGCGGGCGAAAAATGAACGCACGAGACTTTAAAAAAATGAGATTTTTAACTTTTTTTTATAACAAAAGCTTTCAAGACTGTATAGAAAAACGCTTTCCGTTAAGCCTAAGTATAATTGATATCAAATCTTTGTACAAACATATCAGATTGAGCATGTAAAACTAAAGAGAGAGTGTGCCGTCACCTTGGTTACGAAATATGGGGGCTGTGCTTCCCTTTAGTTAAAGCAATGGGAACAATTGCACCCGTTTAACAAAACGATCAACTGTTTTATGAAACTAATATCGTATGTTTGCTAATTGTTTATTGACCCATTATGTTTCCGTGAAATATTTATCTAAAGCTTTGTTTCCGAATTTTAAATAAATCTATCCAAATTTAAGAGAATATGTTACTTGTCCTTTTCGTTTTGATATTTTTAGTAGACATATACATACATATACACCTATTACCCAAAGTGTATTTGTATTTGCAGACGTATAAAAATTTAACTTGAATTTGAAATGAATGAATAATTAGAATTATACCTATATAAAAATGATGAGGCACAAGTAATTATAATAGTTTAAATATAAATTAACAGAAAATACATAAGAAATAAAAATGTCGTAATGGATCTGCATTGTTTTATACAGGGTGTTCCTATATAGGTAGAGTTGAGTCAAGTATTTTTTGCAAACTTAATGCGTCGATTTTCAATATTTGCATGTGTTTTAACGTTATATACAACAACTGTCAATTACATATTTAGGTATATATAGAGTGAATCATGATTGCGCGGAGTGCTATTACAGCCATAAGGAACCACTTCTGTGTCCGTGTATGATAGTATATGCTAGAATATTCCGCATATTTTAAAAATATGTTGTACTATACATAGGGGACCAAAAGTTATATTTTTTAAATAGAGTATACATGATAGCGGCAAAGCAAACGCTAGTGGTGGTTTCTTTATACATTTAGCTTAATTTCAAGTATACAATACACTTTTCCAATTTAAAAATAAATACTTTGTCGCGTAGACATTTTTGGTCCTTCGACCCGGATTTCAAAATGTTGTCAAATTCAAATTATTTACACTTTCCATTCTAATTTATCATCCATTTTGCCTCAATGTGATGTCTCCAGCGCTGTCTATATATTGTTTCCAAAAGTTGCTTCTCTTACTTTTCTGTTCCGAATCAAATTTTTCGTCGCAGAACAAACAAAATCACGTGAAAGTTGCTCTGACGTAGTTGCATGGGGTTCTTAATCGCAATCTTTTGTTTAAAATTTTGATACGTTTAAATTCAAATAAAATCCACTTGAAGGTATCAAATCTAAGACACACTTCAAAGCTATCATTACAAGGGATTCATCCGAGCGATTTATTCTACGTTATCTTTCAAAAACACCTGATCTGGAGGATTTTCCTTACTATAATCAAATCATTGAATAAACTTAATTTTTTATTCAAAGCTATAATAGAGAATTGACTTCTAAAAAATCAATCAATCAAATTGAATATATAAATAAATGGGATATTTTCATTGGCGGCATCTTCATCTAGGCATTTATACCTATTATTAGGTTCTGTAAGCTAATCTAAAATCACAATATTTTACATTATTTAGGTACGTAGGTATATAGAAAGATTGGGGGACACCTCTGTATCGGTTTAGGGATGTGGTGATATTACTTAGGGTGGATATTGACCTCTACATATCTGTTCACCTGTCATGTTTGACCAATCAGATGGTACTCGCCGCCATTTAGATTTCAGTCTCGATCTCGACGTAAGGGTATAAGCAATTGTTTTTGGAGATATAAGATATTCCTTGCAATTATTACGTACTGAAAATCGTGGTAACAATAATTATTCTAACAACTCTCGTTTAGGCATTCATCTCAAGGAATTTCTTTTTTGCTAGCGCATAACTATGTTTGCTTACGAGGCGTCTTCGATATTCAAACTACAATTTTCCAAATATATGATGCATAATACTTATGCAGTTTTCTATACAGGGAAGGGGAAGTAAAACAAGGAGAATCATTGCGAACCCTTTGCTTTTGAACTTACGACATACTTTTCTATGAAGGCGTAGAAGGGCCATAGCCCATAAGTATTAAGTCCCAGTATTTTCAGTGCAGTGACGGGCTAATGAAAAAAGGTCCTCGTGTAAACAGTTCCAATGAACCAATAGCCCATCAGTTCCCCAAAATCGCAAAATCGCCGATACTGTATGGGAGAACTATGCGTGTGTGAATGGCTCCATAAGACGCAATGTTACAGGTGTATCCGAGATGCCAGTCTACGGGGCGACTGTATCGCCGTGTAAAAGCGGCCTAAGTCAATATCATATCAAATTCTCACAACTTTGACGATTAAGTTGCGACTTACGCTTTTTTGTCGTTATGGCGTACTTATGACCTCATAGCAAAAAGCGATTAAATTAATTGTGTAGAGTGCCTTCAATAAACGTTAAAATTATAGTTATTTATTATACAAGACATACATATAAATCATTATAAAATGTTTGAAAATTTAATTTCAACGTCAAAAATAGCAAGCTTATATTTTCCCGTCGTTTCCATCGAAAATCTATTCTGAATTTCATTTTATATCGTGCTTCGAGTCCCATTTTTAAAAAGAATTACACATGTCATTAGAATGCACAAACATTCGTTTCACTTTATCTACCCCTACGGATAAAGTGATCTACTCTTACTGCTAAAGAAAGGCTTAGGGTACTCATTCAAACCTCTTAAAATGTCTGCTATAAAATAAATTAATTTATATTATTTGCTTTTGTTGACCATACATATTTAATTATTAGCATGCTTGTACTTTTCGAGAGTGAGCATTTTAGTTATTTACCTCTGTCGAGCGCAGTCTATGGATTGGCTTCGGACGGGGCCCAAAAGCGAAGTTTAATTGAGGCGCAGAGGTTAATTTCTTATTGCAGGACCGATCTTACCGAAATTTTCACAGAAACGCCTGTTAATAAAAGCAAATCGTGATTGATTAAACATGGCAAAAGCAGCTTTCCATCATCCATACATCGATAAAAGGTCAAGCGCTACATGAGAAGTAAATACAATAAAAGGAAAGTGCTGGGTCTCAACAGATGTTAACGTGCGGAAAAGTTAAGTTTTGAAGAAACTAATTTTTATATACACGGTGTCCATTTTTCGAGTGTCACTATGGGGATCTCGCTTACCTCAAGAGACAGAAAGTTGCGAATTTCCGTGCTAAATAACAATCTGACAAAAAATTTAAAATATCATCAATAATTTTGAAAATAGCGCAAAAAAACGAAACTGATTTTCGTTTTTAATTTTCTCATGACAAACTAATGGTACTAGACATTTCTAATTAACACATTATATATAGACACTTTTAATGGAGATTTCAAATATGGCAACCCGTTTTTAATACCTAACTTTTAAGATGGCGGAGAAAGACTTTAGTTTTTCTTATGGGGCTCATTTTGAATTTTGACATTTTGAGATTACGTCTTTTTTTCTCTTTACAGGTTCAGTATCACATTTTTCCTAAAAATACAATTTTTCATTGTTTGGAAAGAGTGCTTTGGAAAAAAAAAGATCTTTTATTGTGACACTCAAAAATGGACATGGTATATTTGTTATCAGAAAATACAGGACTATTCAGAACTATAAAAATATACAGGGTCTCACATTAAAGATATTGAAAACGTATTTTATTGAACACTACCTGTATATTGAATTCATTCAGTTACATTTTTAGTCGGTACAGATACTTTTATTTACATATAGTACAAGCACCATAGTAGATTTTTGCAGAATGAGGACAAAAACAAAAAAACAATGGTGTGTCACTATATTCCTTTAGGTAAATAACTCTTCACGAAAAATTTCAAAATAAAAGGTTTTACATTCATTTCCCCACAAAACATCCACGGGTAGTTGATCAGCGTGGCTACGATGGCGATGCATTCAAATGAATTTCTTTTTTGTCCTCTTTCTCATTCCGTAAAAATTCAATATGGCGTCTATAGGAAACAAGTAAGTAGTAGCCAGAGCTGGGCAGAATACTTTCAAAAAGTATCTGAATACTAAATAGTAAATACTTTAGACAAATCAAAGGTATTTGAATACTAAATACTTTTACGTCCAGCACAAACGAATACTAGATACAGATATATTGAAAAGTATTCAAATACTTAAAAAAATAAGTATTCAAATACTTTAGAAAGTATACGAATACTTTCAAAAATATTCTGATACTATCAAAGGTATTCGAATACTATAAAAAGTATTCGAATACTTTGAAAAGTATTCGAATACTTGTCACTCAAATACATTAAAAATTTAAAATAGTATACTAGATAAAAGTCTTAATACTACTTAAAAAATCAAGTTATACTTTGTATGGGGTTAGCTTTTTTTTATATTTCTATTGTTATATACAAATTTAAGGGGAGTAAAAGCGTAATATTATTATTATATTATTATATAGGAGGTACCTACCAGGACCTTTCTTATACCAGTTATATCCTTAAGAATACGTGTACCAGTTTTCAAAGCGATCGTAAGTCGTGCACATGATACGTACGCCTTTCTGAAATTAATCCTAGCGATTTTGGAACAGATCCATTTTTGACCATCCGTTTGTCCGTGTGCATAATAACTTGTTTAGAAACGTGCGATCGCTTTGAAAATTGGTACATATGGTCTTAAGGATATAAGAAAGGTCCCTATTGTTTTAAGTTACGTAGACTATCGAGTTCGGTATTCAGATGGATCGGATTTTTATATTTGATTTTGTGACAATGGAAACTTTCCCTAAACATTTCTAAATTGTTCTCAAATATTTGAATAACTTAAAAGTACTGCCTTTTTTTGAGGCCGGAAAAAAATTGTCTGAGATCGACCGGGAAAAAAACATTTTCTTATAGAATTTGGCCCGTAGAATCCATAATTTCAAACAGTTTGAAGATTGGGCTACTAGATCAAAAGTTACAGCCCTTTGAATTTTTTTCGAAATTTGTTTTTTGTCCATAACTTTTTATTGAGAGGTCTAATCGAAAACGTACGAATTGTTTTGGATTCTACGCACCAAAATTAATAAGAAAAAGTGTTTTCCCGAGAAATGTTGGTGCAGTCGATTTTTGGTAAAAAAGGAAGGTTGTACACTGCCTTTTTTTGAGGCCCTCAAAAAAAATTGTCTCAGATCGACCCCGAAAAAAATTTTTCTTATAGAATGTGGCCTGTAGAATCCATAATTTCAAACAGTTCCAAGATTGGGGTACTAGTTCAAAAGTTACAGCACTTTGAATTTTTTTTCAAAATTGGTTTCTAGTCTATAACTTTTGATTGAGAAGTCTAATCGAAAAAGTACGAATTGTTTTGGATTCTACGCACCAAAATTAATAAGAAAAATTGTTTTCCCGAGAAATTTTGGTGCAGTCGATTTTTGGTAAAAAAGGAAGGTTATACACTGCCTTTTTTTGAGGCCCGAAAAAAAATTGTCTCAGATTGACCCGGAAAAAAAATTTTCTTATAGAATGTGGCCTGTAGAATCCATAATTTCAAACAGTTCCAAGATTGGGCTACTAGTTCAAAAGTTACAGCCATTTGAATTTTCTTTTGAAATTGGTTTCTAGTGTATAACTTTTGATTGAGAAGTCTGATCGAAAAAGTACGAATTGGTTTGGATTCTACGCACCAAAATTAATAAGAAAAAGTGTTTTCCCGAGAAATTTTGGTGCAGTCGATTTTTGGTAAAAAAAAGGAAGGTTAAGTATTCAAATACTATGCGAAGTATACGAATACTTCTCAAAGTATTCAAATACCTTGCGAAGTATTCGAATACTTCTCAAAGTATTCAAATACCTTGCGAAGTATTCGAATACTAAATATTTGTGAAAGTATTTGAGTTACAAAAACAAATACTGCTTCCATAAAAGTATTTAATTACAAAGTATTTGAATACTTTAAAGGATTTGAATACTAAAAAGTATTTACAAAACGAATACTGCGCAGCTCTGCCTGTAGCCTCTAGATCTAGCGCGTTATGGAAATGTTGATAACTGATTTTCCGAAAAAAACATAGGAGGTGTTCAAGCTAGGGAAAATGAAAACGAAATTTGACATTTTCAGTTTTTCTGGGATATCTCAGTTATTTTCAAAAATTTCAAATGCGTTTTTTAGACACAAAAAGGGGCAACTTTTCCCCCATTTAAACAACACTATATCTCACCGTTACTGAGATCTTATTGGTGCGCCACGAATTTGAACCACCCTGTAGAAATACGATATCTTAAAAACGAGCGCGATGAAAATTAGAAATGTTGGTACGTACATTTGCAACCCCATGTTAAAAATTTCGTATCTCCGTGAGTATTGTCGCACAAAACAAAATTTTAGATTTGAAATATTCAATAGTACCATTGAATAAAAATCACATTTATTCAATGATACTACCGACTATTTAGCTTTTTGTGAAGAAAAAAATTACGAAACTATACAAATAATTACCTTTAAATTCTCTTCGCTTAGGAGCTCGAAACAAGACGGAGTCGTGTAGAAAAATCATGGGTGCCATGGATTTGTAAAGAAACAACTGCAGCAAAACATTATTATTGGTTAATTAATACTACGAAAACTCTCTTCCAACGTTGATTTCGTCTTAAAATAACGTAAGAAGAATAAATATTTATAGTAGTATATAGTTTACTTACCTACCTTACCTAAATGTCAGGAACTAAAATTATACAGTAGGTACCTAAATGTTTTCATACTACAATATGACATGTTTGGCCATTGATGAAGAAAACGCAGTTGTAAAAATAACAATAACTTCAGTTTTATATTTGGTCAGACATAAGTATTTAAATATGGTAATATACAATATTTTACGTTATATTTACAAATACAAGTTTCACAGTCTCAAAATTATTGTCACAAACAACTACATTCTGTATAATATACTTTTATAAAATAAAATGAATCCAAGCTAAGTATAAATAAATAGGTACAAGTAATTTGTTTTTGATACAGGGAAACGTTCAAAACAAATGTTATATAATATATGGCACGCTATTCGGGATAATAATGATAGTAAAAGGAGTAACACAAAATAATTCTTTAAAAATATAGGTAATATTATTTCAACATAAAATTGGCAACACGGCCGAGTGAATTATTACAGTGTTGCCGCACTATCCGAAGGTCAGTGCACGTATTCGTGTGTCGCATGGTATTGTTGGGCATCAACTATAACACTGGTGTAGCCAGTCGGCCCTTGCGAATGGGCGAGGTGTTTAAACTCGTGCGAATAGGAGTTTCCGTGCTGAGTGTGAGCCGGATTATTGTTGAAACAGTTCATAAAGTGTTGTCCCGGTAATGAATCACCACAGTACGGATTACCTATCGATTGTAAATGTACACTTTGATTATGTGGTTGATCACTTTCGGCACTACTGCTACAACTACTGGACGACGCACTGAATGGCCTCGGCTGACTTTGGTGTAACGCGTGATGGGCGAGTTCCGACTCGGCATATTGATATATAAATTCCGAGTGCTGATGTTGGTAGTAACTTTCTTCACTAAAATTGGGCAGGAACACACTGGGATAGTCGGCGGGGTAGCCGATGACGCCATTGGAATCGAAATCGTCTTCTGGTACTGACGATCCCGGTGTGGATACAATGGACGATTGTACGGATCTGGCGAGTTGGTATTTGGATTGGCCACCCAAGGTGCGCGTTGGAGTATGGAGAGGAGAGTGTTTATTTGGCGAAGACTCTTCTCTGGGCGAACCTTGGGCGGCATTTAGAATGAGATCTTTCGCTTCAAGGTCACTGCGGATGATGGTCGATATTAGGATTTATTGGAAATAGTCCCTACAGTTTACCTTAAAACGTAATTGACCGATACAATGCAGTGCGGTCTTGATGAACGCGAATTGTGCACAATCGTCGCGTAACTCTGCATCCATACCCATCCTCCGCCTTTACTTAAAAATCGGTAATATTTGGTTGTAACTTGCCCCTTACAAAGCACTGAAATTCAATAAAAAAAGAAACGTAATTTCTCACACTACCTACGTTATGAGGGATTTGTGTGGTGTGCAGTTAATTTGGTGGAGTGAGAGCAAACAAGGCTGTGCAAACACGGATAACAGACAAAGTACGTATATATAGCAAGCCAGCAGTTACATTATCATTTAAATATAGCCACCACGCAATTAAAATCAATATGTATTGTTTCTTATACAATCACTTACGCTGGTGATGAGAAAACTTCATCGGAATTATGTCGCCTCCGTGTATATAATGATATAGAGTTTTTTCGATGAGGTCTTGAGGTTCGTATCCCGTAAGTTGAGCTACCCTGTTAAATTCAATATAATATTTAGTGCTTTCATTCAACCCCTCGCTTTCATTGTTTGTTTGGTGCAATTTACCATAATACTTCAAAGTGGCGGAAGGAATAAATGCCAAGTATTATATTACGTAAAAAAGCTGTGGGAAACAATGCACTTACTGCATGTATTGAATTGCGCTCATCATGAGCACCAAAACTTAACACTAACGCCGCATTTCTATACGTACCTGGCATCTAAAAAAATAAGCTTCAAATCGAGACTAGCCCTAAACATGAACATGTTCATGTGTAATTTAATTTCCGTAATTGCACTAGGTGGTAATGAATGTCCAACGGCAACCAATCCCATATTTTGATAACAGCCCTCGTACGGCGAAGATGAAGCGGAGAACTGTTTAATTTTCAAATATCCAGAACAGTGGATTACCTGAAACAATATTTTATAATATGCAAAAGGGGGTTGCAACGATCACACATGTAGACACACTTGTAAAAGCCAATATACATCATCGTTACGAAGTTTAAGTGAATAATTAACTTGACAACTAACAAACTTAATGAATAAATGAATGAATGCAATATGCATTTTTTATACGTATAAGAAAACAAGTCGAGTTTACATACACATGCATGCATATGCAATGCTGATTAGTTTTCCTTTGAGGTGTACTACACAATATATGCTTTACAGCAGACCTATACTTGAAATTTTCCAACAAAGGTTTTCGTAATGAGTTACTTTAACTATTATTTTTAAAAATTGTTACACCAACACCCTTCTAGGGAGGTCATTAGGTACGCAATTACATATTTTGAACATTTCGCAATATATAAGTAGGTATACTAATGTTGATAAGAGGAATACATCTAAAATATTGGTGGCACGGTAGCTGCAGTAACCCCTTTCCTTGTTATAAACGAAACACCCTGTATATTATTTCATTTTTAGATTCTAAATGAAATTCTATACAGGGTAGTGACTTGCATAACGCATCATAAGGATTTCAATGTAAAATTCATAACATGCGATTATTGTCTCCCCAAATTATTTTAGAGCAAAAATGTATTAAGGTTTTTTGTAAAAAAAATTTTTTACGCCAATCAACCGTATTAGGTTTAAATTTTAGCATAAAAAAGACGGAAAATTGGAAAAATAAAACCCGCATCTTTTTCAATAATCTGCGATGCCATGGAATTTTCTAAAACAAAAAGATATCCAGTTGTCAATTAGTAACAGTTCGAAATGGCTTTTATGATCGCCTTGGTTACTGTCTTGCAGTTAATGGTGACTTATTCGAACGTTTATTGTAAATTGTTATATTAGGAAACCATTTTTAGTAATTTGGTCTTTCTTTATGTTGAATTCGCTGTTCTAAATATAATACTTTTTGATAGAATTTCATTTGTTTTATAGCAGACATTTCATGGCATCACAGATTATTGAAAAAGATGCGGGTTTTATTTTTCCAATTTTCCGTCTTTTTTATGCTAAAATTTAAACCTAATACGATTGATTGACGTAAAAATTTTTTTTCTACAAAAAACCTTAATACATTTTTGCTCTAAAATAATTTGGGGAGCCAATAATCGCATATTATGAATTTTACATTGAAATCCCTATGATGCGTTACGCAAGTCATCGCCCTGTATACATTTGATGTGTACCGTCCGATATCTAGATTTAGCCGTTTCTTATATATTTTAATTTTTATGTAAAAAATAACGTTCACAGCACAAAGCATAAATACCTAATTGCCAATTTGTGCTACATGAGAGTTGTTATTAGTTAATTGATTCCTTTTAGAAGAGGATGAGCTTTAATGGAATCGACTAACAAGACTTTTCTTTAAAGGTTTGGCATTATTATACATGATGCCCATTATGTAGCATACATAATCTCAGTAAATATCGACTTTATAAAAAAAATTGTATGTAAAAGTTGTTTAACATCCTATTTTCCATAACAAGACAACATTCAATTTTTTTTTATTTCAGTAAACAAATGAGTAACCAATAACACTTTTTTTTAAATAGCAACGTACCCTTTCATTAGGCTTATTTGATTGAGATTTTTTTTCTCTTTTTGATCTTAGTACCCTTGTACTAGAAAATTCTTGCAAAAAATGTAAAAAACTGTCAATTTCACCATTAACATCAATCTAGTTATCCGAGATTTCTTTTATTTGCCTTAACAATTGAATGTAGGTCATTAATGTGTAAAGATGTCAAATTTAATGTGATTAATTCGTAATTTGACTCCTGTAGGAATCTGGAATTAATCTAAATTTCTATCAGGAGAAGGCGGTATATAGTTTCGGAGACGTCATGTTTGTTGATATTCCCACCAGTAAAATTACCATCACCATTACATTCCCACTTCCTTCCAAACACTATGTAAGCAGAAACCGAACCAGAAAGGAGGTCTTAGAATCGTTACCCTGAACCTAAGTACCTACTACGTTTCTGTTCCCTGGTTAGAGTAGGGATAGATCACGCTCTAACAATAAGTTACCTGTCCCTCTATTGAAGCCCGAGTGGCGGTTGTAACACCGCTCTTCCTTAAACCAGTTACCTTCCATGAATTAAGGGTGTCCTGTTGTATAGCCGTTATTTTATAGCATATGTTAAAATGGCATTTTAATAGGTTTGATTGAGTAGTTCTTTAACCATAAGGATAGATAAAGTGATCACTTTAACCGCAAGGGTAGATAAAGTGAAACAGATGAGTGTGCATTCTAGTGACATCTGTCATTCTTATTTCAAATGCAAGTTATAAAATGACGTCCAGAACATATGACAATTCTGTTTCTATTGAAACGATAGCGACGGAAGAACTTAGCTTACTATTTTTGACGTCTCTAAATTAAATTTAGAATTGTCAGAAGTTTGACAATGATTTATATGGCTTCTGCTATAAAATAAAGATTTTCATTATACACGACGATAAAGAGAAACTAACTTTCACTCAATGGTTAAAATATCGTGTATCGTGTAAAATATAGTGTCTTCAGGGTGTTTGCTAACTTCACAGAGAAGTTGTAAAAGTCGTCATATTCTTCACCCGCTGGGTGTTGCTACCAAAATAATTGAAGCACCAGGAAGCACTACCGAAGCACTAAACAATGAGACATATCACAAGTATAGTGCTTTCAGTGTGTTGCTGCAAAATTAATTGGAGCATTTAGAAGAACTAACGAAGCACTAACGAATGAACCATATATCGACGATAGTGTTTCGAAAGTGCTTACTAGTGTGAAGTAGGCAAACAATTCGGTTAAGTCAATGCTGCTAAGTGTTGACTAGAAAATTAATAAGACAGTAGAAAGCACTAACGAATGGGCCATATCCGAGGTCTAGTGCTTCAAGTGTGCTTGCCTACTTCATATGAGCCGCACCAACTTATTTAAATAAGCAAGATTCTGTCACATTAATGACCTACATTCAATTGTTAAGACAAATAAAAGAAATCTCGGATAACTAGATTGATGTTAATGGACAAATTAACTTATAACAGTTTTTTGCACTTTTCTCACAAATTTTCTAGCATAAGGGTACTAAGATTTTCCGTCATCGAAAAGAGAAAAAAAATCTCTATAAGAGACTTATTAGATTTAGAGTAAACTAGTAAGATCAATAATTTGGCACTTGTAATGAGCAGTAAAATTTCTAATTTAAAATGTGTCATCGAGGCTAGAAAGAACAGAAAACATTTCACATTTTTTGATTTTATTTCTTGGGCATCAAGCTATAGAGTTTCCACCTTTTTTTAATGAAATCAGTGGGTAAATAATGATTTTGACACCTCTTGGTCAAAATAGACGTGGCCATCAAAAATACGTCAAATTCATTTCTTAGACATCGACCCAGCCATCGACCTAATGCGTTTGGTCATTTTTTGTTTTATTGAAATCGGTGATTCTTGACACCTCTTGGTCATGTATACGAGCGAGCAATTGTTGAGAGATAGGTACACTTTTAAATAAAACCTAAGTCAATCTGCGAACTTGCCGTTTTTTTCTTTACCCGATTCCTCTCGTGACAGACAGACGGACAAAGGGCGGACAATAGCGCCCTGTTTGCAAATTTTGTTTGTTTGTTGAATAGTTATGAGTACTTAGGAGATGTTCTATACCACTAAAAACTGGCAAGTTGTGGGATTCGCACTCACCACCTGTGACGTTGTCTGAGTCTTAAACCGTTACGCCAAATTGACTACAATAGAGGTTTCTTTAATTTTTGAGGCCTCCAGGTAAATTTTCATCCAGAATATTTCCTTCTGAGAAAACTGCGTCGGAGTACTCGGTTACTTGCATTTTAATTTTCCGAACAAAATTCAAGTTTAAAACAACTCCAACCAGAAGACTACTACTCGCCCCCTGTGTGCTTGATTCCAGAAACTTGTTCCATTTGTGGCCCTCAGGGAAGTTTTTTTTTTACCAAAATTTTGACCGCCATGGACAATTCACCCCTGTCGTAATACGCGCGTACAAGGATTTAAACGTCTCAAAGAAAAATTCAGCCCTAAAAAAGTCAAAAGTTCCTTCGATATCTGCGGCCCATAGATCAAATTAGTATGCTCCAGAATTTTCGCCTCCGGAAAAAATTCTCCTCCCACCGGAACAATATAGCTTACCAGAATGTTGTATATGTATTAGTCCAGGTTAAATAGCTTTAAATATAATTTATTTAAAAAAATACTACTTCCCGATCTAAACCGGGGTTTTGTGCAGATGAATAATGAAATTGTGGAAAAATAATTAAAACAGCTAAATTAACTATTAATTTTAGGCGAAAATGTTCGAAGTAAAAGTTGTAGGGAATAAAAAATCTTTTGTATCTACTCTTTTTTTATATACTCTCAAATTTTCCGAGAAAAACCAGAAAAACTGTTATTTCTATTTCTGCTAATGCCTCTTTTGCCTTTTCTTATGACGAAAAAGCAGACCATTTTTTGGGCCCGTAAAGTTGAGCCGTTTCCGAGATACTTACGATTTTCGAAAAAAAATACCTCTTTTTCAGGGGGATGAAACATCCATTGTTTTTCATCGTACAGACTGCGCGGGGTAGCAACATTTTCATTTTCTGCCATATCGCACAGAAAAGACTTACATCAACTTGATCCATGTTGCGTTTTGAAGATTTACTTTTGCGCGATACGATCTCCCCGTGTAACACAACAGACACCGCACATCCTAACAGCACACGGCATGCTCGATTTCAAGTTTTCTAAATATTGACTCATGAGTTTCTCTATTTTTTTTATACATCAGCCGCAATGTCGTATATAAAATTATATTTGACAAATTTTTCGTAACTCGTCAAATAACAGAGATATTAAGATGACCCTCTTATCTCGAACGCACTGTATAGTTCAAAAAATATCTTGAGAAATCATTAATACAGTGTGATTGATTTTGCGTGTCCAAG